TGTGGATCGAGGCACTCGAAGGTGCCTGGTCAGCTACGTCCAACTCTACAATAACAACAGAGCTCTGTGCTTGAAGCCCTGGAGCTTATCTTTACCGTTAGTCTACCGGGCGATATCGCCGTACCCGATGCTGTCTAGGAAACAGGCCGACTAATACATACGCACATTTCCTAAGGACGTAGGCTAGATAGCCAGACAGCATGATCGGATTAAGTTCGAATGATTTGGCTGCATGAGTACACAAAGCACCTGCGCAAGTAAGATTACGAACTTTCCCATCTCATCGTCCCAAATCTCTGTCTACATCTACGACATTGGTAAAGGTGGATCTGGTGACTGCTCCTGCCTTTCGGATGAATACTACACGGATAAGAGAGAAAGCCCATATAGGTCCCAACTATCCCATTCCTGTTACTAGCTAGCAGGCGCCCGTCTAGGTCGACGGGTCAGGTCAAACTGGCTGGGTGGTGGAGTGGTTTACGGTCAACAATCAAATTACGCCAATAGCCTACTCGACGACAGGCTCCGAGTTCGAGTTCGATTCCCAGCAAGTGCACCAAGAGATGTAGCCGCACCGGCGGTGAACTCTTTCTTTTCTTTTTCCCTGCTGAATATTCATACGCACATTAGATTGTTTACATTGACCAACGAAAATTTAATCACCCCTTTCATGATTTACTCATCTCTTCCTGGAGCCATGCTGGGATCGCAGGCGGATGCTCCCAGCCGTCGAGGTAGCTCTGCCTTGAGACGCCTTCACTACTCGGCTTAGCGTAGATGCCCGTAACGTACCAAACCGTCTCGCCCTTCTTGATGGTGTGCTGGAGCGTCGGGATGGTGGTGCGGCTCTCGACGAGGTTGGAGTTGGGGTCGGCGTTGACGAGGTTCGCTGTCCGCTCGATGCGTTCGCCTTCCAGGGCTTTTATGCCCACGGCGCCCTTGGACACGGCAAAGGAACCGTCTTGGCCTCTTGCGAGCCCTTCGGGCGTGTTTGTGTCGTAGTTGCCAATGATTTTGGGAGATGTGCCCTCGCCCTTGGCTACGTCGTAGAGATCGAGGTACCGCCCGTTTGTCGAGTTCTCGTTGGCAATGGCAAAGGAGCCGTCGGCGGTCATGACGTCGCGCCCGGCTTTGATGTGGTGAATGCGCAGGTGCCAGTTGGGTGTGGCGTCGGCAGGGGGCACGAGGATGGTCTTGATCTCGACGTCAGAGAAGGGCTTCCATACGGAGACGAGGACCGGCCCGCTGCCGTCTCTGGACTCGATGCCGGCGTACTGTGAGAGCCGGCGCGTCTTCCAGTACTCGCCGCCGTCGTCCGAGAGGCCGAGCTGTGAGGCGAGGGCGTACTGCTCGAGGGAGAAGAGGCCCGGTGGTACGGAGTAGCCGTAGGCGCTTGAGTAGGCGAAGGCGCCGTATTTGGCGTGTGTGCCCTTCATCGGGTAGCTGCAGGCCTGGCCGGAGGAGAGGAGCATGCAGTGACCGCCAATGTTGCTCATGATGTGGCCTGGCTGGGAGAGGGGCTTGAGCTTGGGGATCACATCCCAGGCTTGTTCTTCCTTTGATGTCCAGAAGGGGTGGTCTTCGGGGACTGCGAGGCAGATGAAGGCTAGGCAGGCCCAGTACTGGCAGGAGATATCAGTCGGCTATAAACTCGTAGAAGTCATGGTTTAGACAAGCGCAAAAACTCACAGGACTTCCGGGACTGTTGTAGTTCTCGGCCATGTACATGTTTGGGTACGAGTACCCAACCGTCAACGTCCCGCTCGGGCTCCACATGTCGTGCTGCGTCTGCCACCAGCGCAGGTGACGCATCACGATGCCCTTGACCATACCCCACGTCAGGGGCTTCGGCAGCTCGACGCCGGCGTACGCGAGAGCGCCCCAGAACGAGACCATGGCGAAGCGGTAGCCGACGCTGCGGCCAAAGGGGATGGCGCGCCCTTGTTCGTCAAAATAGTGCGCGAGGTCGAGGGCGACCAGCTGCGCCCTCTTGCGGAACTCAGCGGCGCGCTCGGGCTCGTCGTCGCCGGCGATCTTGGCGTAGAGGAGCTGGAGGAACTGTATGGCGAAGCTGGAGGAGTAGTAGTCCATCTGGTGGATGCCCTCGGGCCCGTCGTTGGACCAGCCGCCGGCGCGGTAAAAGGTGTCGAGGTGCTTGATGTCTGCATCGAGGCGCGCCTGTGAGAATTTACCGCCGTTCTTCTTGAGGCCTAGGTTGGCGAAGACGCGGAACCAGAGCCAGTTTGTGTTTGGCATGCTTTGAGAGAGGGTGTAAGTGTTAGTGGTGTAATTTTGAACGGGGATATGACTGCATATTTACTTCTTCTCGTTGATTGAGTTGCCTAGCCAGTTCTCGACATTTACACGCTCCTTTTCGGATAGACTTTCCCAGATAGTTGGTGCTACGGCGAGAGTGAAGCCTATCATATCTAGTCAGTCTCTGCGAAGTGGCCGGCATATTCACTCGTGTAAGGTAAATCAAACATACCAAAAGGGCACATCTCAACCATGCGCTGGTCATTATCCCGGGGAAACCCCCAGTACTCTGGGTTCTCGGGGTCAGTACCAGCTTTGATGCCCTGGATCCACCACTCGGTGCCGCGATACTCTCCCCCGCCGGCCAGGAGGGCCGCGAGGCCCCAGATGGGGCGGAGGATGCCCTCGACCTCAGAGGCGGCCTGGTCGAAGCGGACGGCGGTGGCGCCGGGGACCCTGACGCGGGCTTTCTGGGGAGAGAAGAAGGGCTCGAGGGGGTCGAGGAGGGTACGGAGGAGCTCTTGGACGGAGGACCTGTCTGTGAGGTTTACTTTGGAGAAGGGGTGGGCGCCATTGTAGCCCAGCACGAGGCCGGTTTTGGGGTCCTCCATGACGAGCTTGAGGTGTGATTATCGATTAAGAATGAGGGACACCTTGTGTGAGAGAGAGAGAGAGCAAGAAGAACGAGATGAGACTGTCAGGTAAGAGTAGAGGAAAACGTTCGGAATAATGAGTAGCTATGTACGCGGGGGAGCATCGAGGTCATAACCCGGCATCCCACGCAACGAACCTCGCGTTAGAATTACTCCGGCCAGCATAAATACACGAGCAGTCGGGCGACTTTCGCCGTGCCGCGTAGACGCAGAACCATCGGGTCTAGCTTTGCGGGATGGTAGAATGGTGGGGTCGACTTCAGTCTTCGGGGGGAGCTCTGTCCAATGTTCTTCTTCTCTCCCCTTCAAGATCGTCAAAGCAGGTTGTTGCTTGGGGGTTCCTCCCCGCTCAATGTTTGGGGTTCGGTGGGGGTGGAGCGTGAGGGGGAGGGGCTGCTACGACAAAGTACGGATACCCTCGTATGAATAAGTGCTACTAACGGCGATGCGGAGGAGGGGAAGGGTGACCTGTATCCGTGTTCGCGGCTAAATGCGAAATGGAAGACAACCTGCAGCACCGGCAACCATGCCGGCCGTTCAGCCTTAATGCATTGGGGGCTGCTCTACTGCAGGTTAGATAGTCTTGGAGATACATGGTGCAGAGGCCGGTGATGCATGTGCTGTCACCTAGGTGAAGAATATGCCAAATCGTGTGGTCCATGGAGACCAAATTTCTCCGGATGAAGAGCTCGCCGTATTTCCTGCTGTAGCTCGTGACTGCGGTGTTTGCATCCGTCAGTCGCCCCGACTGAGGACGAAGCATCACAGGTGTGATTCTGCAGCTGTGTGATGGGCTACCGATAAGTACAAGTTAAACCCCCAAACTTTTCAACGACTGGAAGGGTGGCCGAGTTGGTTATGGCGCCAGGTTAAGGTCAGCTTAACATCTGTTTCCTGGTGGGGCAACCCGCGCGAGTTCGAGTCTCGTCCCTTTCATTTTTCGATTTTTTTGACATTTGATACGATACCCTTATATGCCCCTTGCACTGCATCTCGCTGTATTTTAACTCAGTCGAAGCTGGTGTCGGGGAGTTCGGAGAAGGTTTATATGCTGAGGTAAGTCGTAGATGCCTTCCCATCTTTAACCAAAGTTCCGCAGTTCTACGCTTTGCGAGTTGATTTCCATTGACCTTAATGACTTTATGATACTTGACCTACATATCCGTTTCTCTATGTTGAATTTGATAAGGCGTTTGTTCTCCCTGCCATTGCTTGATCTTTGGCTGGTTTACTGTGTGATTCTTCCTGTATATAAGCCCTCAAGATCTCGTTTACGGCAACCAAGTACGAGACAGGGATGCCTCTTGAGAAGGTGCCCAGGACGTCGATGCATCTCGCTCAGCTCACGCTGTTGGTGAAGAAGAAGTAAAGCTGGTACTAAAGGGCTATGTCTTTAGCGAAGAGAAGCCAGTCAACAAGCCACTATCCTACATCCTTCTTTAGCAACCCCAATGTATTCTCATCTGAATGTTTCGCAGACGAAAGCCAGAGGCAGATAGCGGTGTAGCTAGGTTGTATCATCGCGTGTAGGTGTAGATATACCAGGCGGGCCCAAAAACATATTCAGTATTTCGGCAAAGAAGCCCCTGCCGAATAGGAGATGTGGGCCGCTGATCTTGATCCAGTTCAAGCCTGGAGAAATCATGTCAAGACAGAAGAGAGCAATCGTATTTATACACTTTTCTAACGATAACGACAGAAAGACAAGAGGCGATAGTGGGAAGGCGCGGACCACATAGTCTCACGAGGACACTCGACTATCTGAGTCACTTACCTAGAGTAGGCACTCACACGTCACCTGAGGTAACTAATAGCTTCTAGCTGGAGCATATTTAGAAGGAGTAGGTCCCGAGAGGACATGGTGCCCGTCACATCTTCAACTTCAAATATCCACCAAGACGTGTCCGATATTGTGCATTTGTATGGGCCGAGATTTCTCGCGTCTTTAACCTATCACCGTACCCAGGATGGACGTAACACCACAGAAGAGCGTTCACATATATATCACGCGGAACCCAGGCATCAGATTAACTACTTCAGATTCGCATCGGTGGGACATAATATTCATCTTCGGTTCATCTTTCTTCTTCCCTACAGCCAATCCTCTACAAACCCATCCTCCAACAACTTCACCCGAGCCATATGGCATGCATCGCCGCCACAACCCGCCCATGCAACAGAAATACCAACAGCCCCAAAGAAAATTTCAGAATGCCAAACCCAAAGACCAGCCGGGAGCCCAGCATTCTTCTCCATTCCCTCATGCTTGATTGTCTTGAACCCTGGAAAAAGGAAGAGCCAAAGTGACCACGTAAACCGGCAATAACGCAGCGATGCAGTACAAAGACGCCCCAATAACTTGCAAGCGCCTCGACTCCTTTCGTGCCCTCCTATACATCGTGGGGGAATAATTCACAATCGAAAAAAAAGGGGGGAACCACTCCGAATCCTCAGTTCCCTTCCTCCCCTCCAACTGACAAAATGGCAGGTACTGTGTGATTGAGCTTGTATAAGGTGGGGATGGGTATTTCCCCCCTCAATGCTAGTGTTCTTCGAAGTAGTAAACATTACGTAGTTTTCTGTGTATATATGACTCCGACTGGTGACTTTTTTCTTCCCACATGAGGTCCGGGCTCATGGCTCTACAGGCGTGTTCTCGGTCGAAGGTGTCGGGGGTATCTCCTCCTCCTTCGCTTCCGTCACAGTCGTGTCTCCTTCGCTGACGGCAGTGTTTGTGGACGTTGCCTTTTCCCGCCTGCGTCTTCTCATCCTCCTCTCTTCCTCGGCCGTCTGCCTCCTCGAGCGCCGTAAGCTCTCTCGCTTCTCCGGGTCGGCCTCATCGGCCCCGTCTCCTCCACGTATACCTTGTAGCAACAACGCCGCACGATCGGCCACGTCGTCCTCTCCAGCTTCTCTGGGTGACGACAGTCCCGGGCTGATGGGGTTGCCTTCTTCGTCAATAGTCGCCTCCTTGGGCGCTTGTTGTAGGGAGGCTTCGACCTCGGGGATTTCGTCTGGATCAGGGATTTTCTGTCCAGATGCGACTCGCACCTGATGACGATCCTTGAGTCTGGCCCTGCGACGACGATCTCTCTGGTCTCGTGTCTGAGGCGCAGCAGCGCGCAGCTTCTCCAGCAAGGAGTCCATGGCACCTGCGCTTGATGGCGAGGGCGGTGCTCCGTCCACCTTGGCATTTGATACCTGGAGTTGGGCGTGCTTCCGCTTCATAGACGCCTCGTTGCGCCTGCGCGTCTCCTCGAGCTGAACGTTCTTCTCCCGGGACTTCTTCCAGCCCATAATGAACATGGCAAGCTTGGCAAAGAAGTCTCTGCGGGCGTTCTCGTCGGTGGGGTCTTCGCCATAGAAGACCATGATATCGTTGTATGTCTTCATCATCTCCTCCAGGTACAGCTGCATCTCCTCGGCCTTTCTTCTCGCGTCCTTCATGATTCTTTGGACAATATGACTAACGCGATCTTGGGGATGGAACTTCTTGGAATCGCTGAGATTACCGGCATCGAGAGACATTTGAACGTTCTTCACTGTGTCAATGTATTGTTTGGCGTCTTGCTGAACTTGCTCAATGTTGATCTTTTGAGCCATCACGACACCGTTAATGTCTTCCGAAAAATCTTCCCATTCGGGGTACTGATTACGAACGATTCGCTCGACGAGATCGGCGAGCGTAGATTCGTTCTTGTCATCCTTGACCATGCCCAGACGGGCAAGAGAGCTCAGCTTGAAACCGCGGGCCTGCTTATTGGCGTCGTTCATGTAGTTTCCGATATCGAGAATGAGACCGAGAACGTTCATGAGGGACACGGAGTCTCGCAAAGACTCGGACACGGCGACGACTTGTCGCATCTTCTCCGTGATCTCGTCAAAGTCGGGCTCGAAGCTCCTAGTAAGGGCCAGAGCTCGCATACGGGCCTTCCAGTAATGATGCAGTTCAAAGGCTGTGAACAGGTAAATCTGATCCTGTCTGGTGAGTTCGGCAGGGTCCTGTTCGCGTTCGGCCTTGTCGGGGTTTGCGCCAGTCCAATCCTTGCTGTACGGAGCCATCTGCTTCGCTGTGTTATCCGGAATATTACACAGATCATCCTTGCGCAAGAAGTCCATGACGACCGAGTTATCGAGGATCTCCTTGTCACAATGGATGATGGACTGCACGATTTTCTCAACGGAAACCTGAGAAAATTTGGCGAAGGCAATTTCTAAATAGCGTCAGTCAGTTGCTGTCGCTTACAGTAATGCGGGAAGTGGGAGGGAACATACCGAAAGCTTTGCGGAGGTCGCCGGAGATGATTTGCTTCTTGTCATCCTTCTTTGCGCCACCACCAACTCCGAGTCTCTTGATTTCCTTGGCCATGAAGAGCTTCTCAACCTCGTCCAAAATGCCCTTGCGGCTGAGTTCAAGATACTTCTCTTCGCGCTCCTCAGCAGACGGAGCATGGGCAGCCCAATGCGTAGTCATGTGAGAGTCGACCTTGTCCCAATGAAGAGCCTTGAGTTTCTTCTTTGGACGAACAATAGGCAAGCCGATAGTATTCCCGCCGGCGAAGGGTGTTGCCTGTGATAGGAAGTGGCCTGAGATGGCGCCAGGCAATGGCGGAGGGGGAGGTGGTGGCATTCCCGGAAGACCGCCTGGGGGTGGTGGAGGCGGTGGCGGAGGCGGCGGAGGTGGAGCACCAGTCGGGGATAGCATTCCCGGCATAGGCGGAGGCGGGGGTGGCGGGGGAGGAGGTGGTGGTGGAACACCGGTTTGACCGGGCATAGGCGGCGGGGGAGGTGGCGGAGGGGGAGCGGCAGCCCCGGTAATTTGGATCTTGGGAGGTTCGCCATCGGCAGGTGTAATTGGAGAGCCGGACTCGAGGCTGGGATGAGAAGGGCCAGTGGTTGCGCCCTCGGGGTCTTCTGAATCGCTTCCCTCGTATTTCTTGACCTTGCCGGCCATCTCGCCAAAGAGACCGGCTTTTTGGTTGGGGTCCATAACGGGGCGGCGGATTTCAACGACCCGGGGCTTCTCATAGACAACTCCGTCCTCGTCCATCTCGACATCTTCGCCATCGGGGAAATCGCCTTCCATAGGTTCGCCACGGCCGTTGACTGGCTTGCGGGTGATCTTTGTGTTGCGGTTGACGCTTCCGAGCATACTGTTTGTGAAGTCTCTTGGCGGCGTACCAAGTCCTGGCCCCATCGTGCTGTCGTCCATCTCCTCGCGGAGAGCGCGTAGTCGATCAGATGGCCCAACGGCATCTCCCCACACTCTACCCTCCAGTTTGAACTGGGTCTTTTGGCGTTCGATCTGCATCTGAAGACGCTCCATGAGTCGGTCACGGTCCAAAATGCCCTGCATCCGAGCCGGATCTTCTTCCCCAAGCTTGTTGGTGCCCTTAACAGCATTAGAGGCAGCAACGTCTTGTGCGTCTCTAAGCATGAGGTAAAGCTCTCGGGTCTCGAGCTCGTACCGTTGGGCTTCCTTCTGACGCAGCGTTTGAATGTTCTCGAGCTCAGCTTTCAGGCCTTCGGCTTGCCGCCTTTGAGCTTCAATGAATCTCGCCTGCTCATCTAGTTGCTTTTGGAGCTTTGCCACTAGTCCATCGGCGCCCAGCTCTAACCTCTCCTTCATCTCATCTCTCTCCGCCATGGCAGCGTCAGCAACCTGGCGTGCCTCGAGTGCCTCGTCTTGGGCTTGCCGGGCCTCTGAATCCGTGTGAAGCTTATCTAACAGACTCTGGACAGTAAAGTTCAGACTTTGCTTGAGGTCCATGTTGGGCAAACGCCTATCCATGGCCACATAGCTCAACATTGAGTCCACCAGCTGGAACATCCGCAGTCGCTCTTCGCCATCATTGTCACGAATGAGCAGCAGATGCTGCAGCGCTGAGATAAAGTAGTCCTGCGTCTTGCTCCCACGCAGGCGCTGCTGGATGGCATCCACAATCTGGACAGGGTCGTTGAGGTCTTTAACTTCTCCTTCGACGCTGTCCTTAATGCTGTTGTTTTCCTTTTCCAGCAGATCCTCGTAGTCGATGGCCTCGTTGGTTCGGAAACGCTCAATCTGCTTGTCGATGAGGTCGTATTGGAACGACTCCATCTTGGTCAGGATGCGCCTGATGCCGCATGCTGTAAACTGGGCGCGAATGTGCATTCGCAGTTGCAGGTCCTTCTCCGGCGCATCGACAATCATGTTGATAAGAATCAGCGTCGCGACGGCGTATTCCATGAGCAGGTTCTCCATGCCGATGCCACCGCTCCGGACCTCATCACTCGCTCCGACCATACTGCCCATCTTTCCACGCCCGTCCACTGTGACTTCAACAAGCCGCATCCAAGCGTCGAAGCGGCCATTTTCTCCTTGCTGTGCCTTGACGGAATCGAGAGCTTGGATAACCTTGAGGTGACCTTCTCCATCGCCCCAGTGACACAAGAAAGTAAGCACTTCGCTGACCAACTTGCGAGTTGTCAAGCGCTGGGAGGTCAGGGAGGTCGCTAACGCGATAATGACTTGTTGATGGACTAGAGCATCGTCGGCGCCGAACTTGTTGTTCATCAAGGCCTTGAGACACTTGATGATGTCGTATTCGCGGTCGAAGTTTCGGTCTGATCTCCCATCTTGTACTGGTCCCGTTGCGGTCTTGCGGTTGATCTTCATGAGAACGTTGGTCAACGCGACTTGCCCCTGACACTCGATGAAGCGCTTAACCCAACCAATCTGTTGCGTTCTGAGATTGACCTCCAAACTCCCCAAGCCCTTTGTGTCCAAGCTGTTATCCATCACGCGCCGGACATACCATTCTGGTGAACCCTCCTCGTCCGAGTTGACCAGAATCTCTGGGGCCGCATACTGATTCGGTTTCGCTGTTTGCCTCCTTTTTTGCTCTCCTTGCCACTCGGTCAATCGGTCCTGGTATAAAAGCGTCCATTTCTTGTCCGGCGCGTACGCGACCATCTGTCGGCGAGCCTGCTCAGGTAGGTTGTGCCATCCTCGTTTTTGCATCAAGGCCAGAAACATCTGGCCGATAATTTCGTCGTTATCCGGCCGGGGGAAATGAAACCCATCGTGTCCAGTGGGCCCCATGCCGGGGAACTTTGTCAGTCGGTGCGAGGAAGGGTGCGTCGAGTCCCTATAGGACATGTGCGAGGAATAGGAACTCTGCGAAGAAGCACTGGGCAGCGCTGGTCTTGATGAGCGATTTGCTGCTAAGTCATAGGTGCCTCCATTACCTGATGAGAATATGCTGGCTTGGTCAGCGGAACTACGACCCGCCGATGTCATGTACGAATCGTATCTGGGGTTGTGGGACCCATTGATTGTGCTCGCCGTGCTTCCGCGAGCAGGCCCTGGTCCCCACTGTTGGTATTGCGTCTGGCGGCCTGTACTGGCCATTGTGATATTTGACTGCGGCGCACGCTGCGCCGACGCATGTGAGCCCGCTCCCCCCGCCATTGTGGACGGGTCGAAGGTGGGATACTGATGAAAGTCGCTTGTAACTTTATTGAGATGATGCGGCGAAGGACTCGGGCGAAGCACCGCTGCTTGATCGCCTTTGGGTAAGTATTCGATGGGCACTGGTGATCGAGAATCGGGTATGCTGTCGTAGGGGATACTCGTCATGGGGCCAGCAGTCATGCCGGATTCGGGGTATTGGTCGATCGAAACGACGGACGAGTCGCGATGGTGGCGAGAGGCGCGCGAGTGTACGCTGGCCGTATCGGAGTAATCGGCCAGATGGCGACCTTCGTCGCTGGTGTTGCGTTTGTCTTTCCTGCTTCGCGAGAAGAAAGACTTTCCTCCTGAAGATTGTCTCGACTTGTCGGTGGAAGACATGACGGTCGCAGAACGGGGAGGCAGGTGAAACACCTGGCCCTCTCACGTAAACCTCGATCGATTGGGTGTCTCTTCAGATTCAGAACTGACGGATCTGGGTAATAGTTCGGGCGAGAGGGATGGCCAAGGCCGGTCGCATGATTAAAGTCCTCTAGCCTACAGACGTGGAGCCTTTCGGAGGCAGGTTGGGAGAGCAAGTTGCAATGTGGTGCGTTGGAATCTCTGTCTGCATGAATCGGTTATGTTTTAGCATGTCTTCTGCCCAAGTTTGGATCGAAGCAGACAGAGGTTTGGGACTTGAGACCAGGGACTGAAAGGAGGGGGTCCCCTGGGGCACTCGACATACCTCTCTCTGGTCACCCTCGAAATGCGACAATGGTGGTATAGTACAAAGAGGCAAAGAGGCTGAATAATCCGTCGGTGCTTGTTCTCCTTCTCGAGCAGAAATGATTCTGTGTAAAGGGACGTAAGGCAACAGGTAGGCGGCCGAAAAAGTTGCGCAGGTTGCAGCGAGCGCCGTGGGACGGAGCAGGGGTTTCGGAATATGAACAAAATAGGATCGCGAAAAGCAAGTGGTGCGTCACAAAGAGTGTGTGGTTGGGTTGCCGGGGATCAAGCAAAGCCGGGACAGGTATCCGAAGTCTGCCACGGCCGGTTCGCAGGCTGACGAACTGCAGATGGGTCTGACGAGCTGACGATGATGATAGCCTTTGGCTGTGTGTATGTTGTGACCGTGGACCAGGTTTCCCACGTGAGGGGGAGAGGAGAGAAGGGGAAACGAGGAGCTGAGATAGTGCTCGCTCGCGCGTTCCGTCGAGAACTCGTTCCTCCACAAACCAGCCTAGGCTCTAGTAAGGTAGGTAGGTAGCTAAACAGACAATCCAGGGCGTTGGCTAGGCGGCAGTTGAGCAAATAGACTACCGAATTTAGTGGCCAGCGGCAGCCAGCAGTAACAGTGGCAGCAGTTCCAGCATGGGATGAGGTGGTAGCCGTGCAGGTTTGCTTTTGGGTTGTCTCGTCACTGTGAAGACGACGTTGCAAAGTGCGGAGTTCCCTGATGAAACGGGGCTCGACAAGGGGCCGCGATTGACTTGACACTTTAAGGGCAGCAGAATTGCGATTTCTTCTGCGGAAACTGCCTGAGCGTTCTGGGGTAGGAGGGAGAAGAGGATGGGAGGAGAAGCGGCGCGAACTGCAAGTCTCGAGGTCTTGGCTGCTAAGGTACGGGCCAGTCCAGTGCGTTGCAGTAGTGACAGGTGGACTGGAATGAGTGCGGGCGCGGCTAGAGATGTAGCCCGGACGAGATGGACACGAGAAGATTACGTGAATGGAAGGGGAGCAGAGAGAGAAAGAGACCAATGCAGACGGAGACGCAGAATGGAGAAGGTGCGAGAGATAGAGAGGAAAGTCGAACGCATGCGGCGCTGGCGTTGGGCGGTGGGGATGTTCTGTTGGCGCGCTTGACTTGAGAGAGAAGTTCAGATGCGCGATAATATTGTGTAAGGTACTCCGTCTCCAACTCAAAGTGCGAAGGAGTCAGTCAGTGGGCTGGTGGAAGGCTCAAGATCCATTCAGCATCCGTATTCAATGGCACACCGCACTCGTAGAATAGCTAATTAGTATTGGCATGCGATGCTACGGGGCGCCGCATCCCGCTGCGTCTTTCAGGGGTCGAGGGCCGAGGGACGTGGACTCGGACGAGTTCAGAAAGGCGCGAAGAGGGAGAGGAGAGTCCGGCGACGAGTAACCCAAGTCCGTGGGTTGAGCCAAATCAAATGCGCCAAAGATCGCCATCGGCATCTGCAAGTCTCGTGCTGGATTCGCCAACGATACGTCAAGCAGCATCGCGAGAGAACTGAAGCCTTGCCTAGGTAGGTTCTCTACCTTGCCTTATCGCCGACGTTCATTCATTCACATTTGGCGCTTCAGCCAGTCGCATGAGCGAGAACTTGGAGTACCTTCACACCTCAGATGGTAGTCGATTTCTCTCATCTTGCAATCTCTTCTTCGCATTCGTCCGTCTGTAAACGCCCAAAAGAGCCAACACTCGCCCTCTCCTTGCGAGGGATCTCTAGACTGTCCATGCAAAGGCCTAATGAACCCCCCTCATTGGGCGGGTTCCTAAAGTATGGGCGGGCTGGTCCCTCCCCGAGTCCCCAGGCTCCCCTAACCCTTCCGCAGACCCTCCGTTACGGTGGTGCTGATGCTAAAGATGGCGACAAGAACCCTGAGGCCCAATTACAATGCTTGCCCTGTCTGTCCGTTTTGAGCCAGAGAGCCCTCTCGAACCATGTACCTCCACATGGAAAGGTGGCGGTGGGGTGACAAGGCATCGTCCCGGGCGGTCCACCATTGAGGCCCAGCACCGTAAGCGATATTTGATCAAAAATCTCGGGAGCCTCGACTATTCCCGTATTGCGACGACCTGTCTGCTTACACTACCTGGTAACAGGGCAATAGAGCAAACTTTGTGCATTTGCTCCTGAGGCTCGTTTGCGGATTGCCTGTCGATATCGTACGAGACTGGCATTTTCACTAAGCGTTGCTTTGTTGATGCAGGAATAGAAACATCAACGGCAATCCCACAGTGGCACGGTGGTCCTGAATGGTCCCATTTCTCGAGGTGTCTTATCTTCGGCTCTCGCTTGAGTATGTCAGATAAGGGTCCCGGGGAGTCCGCGCTCAAGTCAGTCCCGCGACTCGACCTTTTGAACAATGGACCTCACCTGCCAACTTAGGTAAGTAAGGAACAGAATACGGATACATATGATTAAAACTCATCAACGTCTGTAGCCTGTAGGTATGTACTGAGGAGAAAGACGACAGTATCGCGCCCAAAGAGATATCATAGTAAAAGCCAGTACCTAGTCACTCGCGACACATCCGCTCGTTGCATGCTAAAAGGCGTTCGCGAACGGAACTATCGAAAGCGCCTCTGTCAGTGTCAGGTACGGGCAGGAAAGGTACCTAAGGTAGGAAAGGTACTTGTCCGACCACTTTCTAGCAGGATGCGCGCAACCGACAGCTTTTGTAGTGGGCCCATCAAGGTTAGCCTGTGTCCTCCATCCGTACCTAGTATGGAGCACCCAGCTGCCATGCCTGGCGCCGGCCGGGGCCAAGTGGCTTCTTGATTACGTATGCCTGTCAACCTCCACTGGGTTGCTCTGCTGCTTTGCTCCGTGTCACGTCAACACCACCTGGGCAGACAGCTTGACAGGACCGCCTCTTTTGGCTTTAGCCTGGCTCCGTCCGCGCTCGCCGGCGGCAGTTCTCAGCTAAGCTTGCTGATAATCGTAGCCTTGTCATCATTCAGCTCAACATTGTAATCCCGGGAACTCTTTCCCACAAGGACGCAAGGTCGACAAATATTTACGCGACATCACCGCCAGGCCCACCATGGGCACCACGATGTCAGTCATTAAGGTACGCTTCCATCCTGCTGCAATCAAGCTTCTATCTCTCTCCGCGATTTTCTCCCGATATATCTCCTGAGCTAATCTTTTGTCGTCATATGTCTAGACCTTGATCGTGCCTGCCATCATCTCGCTCATTCTTTTCCTCGTTTCGACCTACGTTGCCCTGCCGCTCTGGCGCAGATGGCGCAGTCGTTATAGCCAATATCTACCTCTCGATACCATATCGACCTCGACTGTGTCATTACGACACCGCGTGCAAAATGCGATTGCAAGGATGATGGTCCCGTCAACCTGGCGGCGGAATGCTCATGAACGACTCGTCATCGCGACCGACGCTTCCGAAGACGGTTATTCGTCAGAAGATGGCGAGGAGCTTGGGGAGGTTGGTGAAGATACCCGGAGAGCTCTGACAGAAGATACTCGGCGAGACAGGCATGACAGCACGAGGCGCTTGAGCCGAGAGTAAGTCGAGCAATGCTCCCCGCCTCCGTATTCTATTCTTTCTGTCGCCTGGCCTCGTAACTAACACATGTGTCTCTGTGCCAGCCTGGAAGAGGGCTTTAGAGATGACAGTGACGATGAAGATGATGGAGCTGGTAATAGGCGGTAGTCATCAATCTAATACGCACTTCAGCCTCGCTTCCATGTACCGGATGCCTAGCCTCGTTACCGGCCACGAGGACACTCAGCTGAATATTCGCCTTGCCTTTCCATCATACGTATGCCTTGCTGCCGCATAAAACCCCATTTTCTTCCGCCTGCATGCAACGCAGGTGGTGAATGGACATGGACACGCGAACTGGTAAGCCTTCGGTCGAGTTGGCCGATCTAGTCAGCCTATCACCAAGAGGCTAAGCCCGCGATGTCTCTCTCGGCAATCGCTTGTTCCAGGAAAGTCTGCCATGTCAAGCGACCCGGATCTCGTACTTCGCACCCATCCAAGTTCAAGTTCTGGTTCCGCATTACTAAGGCAGGCATTCGGCAAACGTGGGAATCAAGTGGCGATAAGGGGTGGCTAAAACTGCATTCATTTCAATGCTGAAATCAACATCAGCTGAACCTTATGCCGCCTGCCAACCTGCCTCACTTTGGTTGACTGTCTCGCTCCATCTCTGCTCTGTTTGGTCTGAGTTGGGGTCAGGCGCAACCACATGTCCGAAACAAGCACCGCTCAGGCGCCCGGTGTTTCCATCCTGCAGGTTTCTGCACCTTACCTAGCTTGGCCTGTCATGTTTCTCTCTTTCGCTATCGGAGACGGCGGCTCTTCTATCCTTTTTTCTTTTTCTTCTTCTGCCCCTCCTCAGCATGGCATCTTACTCTTGTTTAATGTGGTAAGGAGTGGGATGAAGTTGGTGGAGGTCAGCAGCACCGAAATGGTTCCTCCTCCTGGAGGACTGGGAAGAGGGGCACGCATTCCTTCTGACAAGCGTCAAGCGTCACACGCTCTCCAGCCAATGCTCCATGTTTCCCAGAAAGGTCAGACCAAGACTAAATGCCGCCAGCGCACATGTCAAGCATAGCCCAGCGAGTCGGCGGCACACCTTGTACTCAAGGTATGGCTCCGTGCACCATGCCTTTTTTCCTGAGAAAGACATGGCTGACCCGGCAGAGGATCCGGAACGGCCCAACGGCGGAGGTCAATGTCGAGCCATCCATCTGCAAGGCACGATTAGCTTTCCTAAAGTCAGTAGCTCTTCCTGTCCGGGTGTTTGTGTTCCTTTTCCCTTCTTTGTTATGTTCCTCATCGTCTTTGTTATCACTGTTCGACCGCCGTTTGGTCTAGCAACAAAGGCTTCGGTTAGTCCGGGACTCGTTTTCCTCTAGCAAGTTTTCTTGTTTCCGACGCTGGGTCTTATAGCGAATCTCATGTCCCTTTCCCGCTGGAGACGATGAACATTTTCAAATCTGTTATGCGGAAGCAGGAGATGGCTTCGAATCCCGCTGCCGACGACACCTGCTGCGCAATATGTTACGAAAAAGTAGGCGAGGCTAAGGAGGAGGGCGACAAGGAGGTCTGGCGATATCTCCCCTGCGGCCACCGCTTCGGCGGCGACTGCATACAACACTGGCTCGGCGTCGCCAGCGTCGATGAGCCGCACTGCCCCTGGTGTAGGGTGAGCATGCGGTGTGACTGTGGACATCCCGTGGTGCCGACGACAAAGGCGACGCGCAATTACATGTACTGGGGCTGGATGCCGTGCGAAATATGTCACACGCAACTACAACGTACTCGCAAAACATCCAAATATTTTCGCGGGCAGCTTCTACCGCGGCTCAACTCCCTCATCCACTCGCTCGATCACAACATGGCGTCCATTCCTCAAGAGGTGCCCAAGGAACAGGAAGAAACACCAACAAAAGAGCCTTGGGAGGATCGTGAAGTATGGAGGAGGAAGTGGACCGAACATTTTATCCAAGAAGATCGGAAAGCTTCTGGATCGAAATCGCCAAAGAAATAACACCAGTGGGTGTGGTTTCCGTCTCTTGGTGAGACCGGAGATACCAAGGTCGCGGGGCCTACCTAAGCAGAGACATGGCGACTTCTCTAGTGCTGAGAAGTTCGGCTTGACACCGCCGGCGTACACAACGATGAATGCACAAGGGAAAGGAATGCACGGCGATGGCTTCTAAAGGCCGGTAGACTATGGCACCATAGCAGCCGGTAGGACTGGCATTATGATAACCAAGCCAGGTCTCTACGCAATAGTTTGATGGGAGCATCATGACTTGGGCGAAGCCTCATCAGTCTTGTTGTAAGACAGCAGATGGTATAGGTGACGGATTTCATTTGTCCAAATACCTGTAATGAATTTCGAGCTTTTCACAACAATCTTAAACACATTTATCTTCTCATAGGGTATTAGAAATGAAACCTCAAGGCTATCTAGAAGTCAGCCTTTCTCGACAGACATGGACTGCTTCACGGTGATGCAAAATCACCCACCACCTAGGCTACACTCCACACCTGTCGACGTCACTCTGGGAGAGTCAACACACCCTCTGACGTCCATAGCATCCACCATATTCCCAGAGATCTTGAATTAAGAAGCGAAAGGGGGGAAAGTGAAGCCTATCGGGACATTATCCAACTGGCCGGCCCTCAAAAACGGTCTCACCCTCTCTCCCTTCTGCGCATCCCTGGGGACCTCAGGTGATGGCGGGGTAGGCGCGAACTGTGAATGGGGTGAGGTCTCCCAATGTGGACACGCTAGGCAGGGGTGGATGCCCCGCGCTAAAGACTCCCGTGCCGTTTTCTGCAGACCATCTTGCTGGCAGCGCCTGCAGTGCAGCGTGGCGGCAGGCATTGGCAGGCATGTACCACCTTTGCTCGGTGCCTTCTCCCTGCCAGTGGCAGCACCACGCACGGCGGCGTACCGCACACTGCAACGCACCTCTGAAAGGCAAGATCGCGTCGTTTCTCTTTCCACTTTACGCGTCTACACCAAAAGAGGTAATCAGCTCCCCCCCCCCCCCCATACCTCTCCGCCCGTACCTCAACTGCAGCCGGGTGTTTCTTTCTGCTTGTGTGACTCCCTTTATCTATAAGGTTTTTATTTACGGACGGACGGACGGCCATCTCGCTGAGAGATCGAGATTTCGAAAATGCGATTCAAAACGGAGCTCAAGAACATCCGTACCTTTTCCAGTGCGTTTGAACCCACAACACCCCAATCCTACCTACCTGCTTGCCGGCCGGCCGGCTTTGCTGCAACCTTGGGTTCCCTGATTGACTCTCTATTCGTTCCCTTTGCTTGACAGAGCTCACAGCTGCCCTCAACTCGCTCGAGAAGATCGCATGGGTTCGCCTAGACGATGAAACGGCACGCTTCACCGTCATTCCCGACACGGGTTCTCAAGTCTGGTCGTAAGATTGCTGCACTCTGACTCTGGTAGCGTCTTGAGAAGCTGTGGTTGCTGAATCATGGCTCCAGTTCTCTACCCATGGACTTCATCTTTGACAGCTACCACATACAATCGGCCGAAGACCACAACACCATCAACCTAGAGCTACCATTGCAACCTCTCCAACGTGCCCTACGTTCTGCGCTCAACAGCACCTCTGCCTCGTTGCGTCTCACCAAGAAGGATGGAGTCCCCGTACTGTCCATGACCATCACGACCACGACGAACGCCTCCTCGGGGTCAGGTCTCCCAGGCCGCAACGCCGCCTACGCCGGTCTTGAAAATGATCCTTTTGACGAGGACGACCAGGGGTTCGCCGCTGAGCATCTAGAGACTTCTCTGCGCCGCGAGCGCGAGAAGATCATCACCCAGGACATTCCCGTCCGGGTGCTGCATCCAGAGACGGTAGAGACAATCATGCAGCCCACGGTGCGCGAGACAGACGTGCACATCACCATGCCGCCTCTGCTCCAGCTCAAGGCCATCTCGGACCGCTTCACCAAGCTCGCGCTCTCGTCCGGCACAAACTCCCGCGTGAGCCCCAAGCTGGAGCTTAGCGCCAACATGTTTGGCAACCTGAAGCTGCGGATCGCCACCGAGGCCATCGACGTCTCGAGTACATGGTCGGGACTCGTCAATCCGGAGTTGGACCCCACGCAGCTGGAGATGCCCGTTGAAGAGCACCCAAGCGTCAAGTTTAAGGAGGGTGGCCCGGAGAAGTGGGCAACAGTGCGGGTAGATGGCAAGGACTGGAGCCGGGTGTTGAGTGTAGGGCGGCTCGAGGGGAGAGTCGTTGCTGCATTCGCAGACGACCATGCTTTGATTCTGTATGTTTACGTGCCGCAGTATGACGATGCCACGGCAGATGACGCCGTACTGACCGTAAGAGATCCCTTGCATGCGCTTAGGGGAGAACACTGGCTGACTACTCACAGTACTACGTAACATCGTTCAGCGCATGAGCTGTTTTGCGTTTTCGAACTTTCAAGGAGGGTACTGTAGTAATTTGGGACCGGCGTTCAGGTTTATGAAAAGCAGGAGCACTGAGGTAGATGTCGGCGTTTATGTGAGCCCCAGTGGCTGGGTGCAGACCAGTTTGAAGATGAGGCCGATACTGGGATTCTTTCTTCGCAAAGTCACTAGTCAAAGGGTCTCTACCAAGCCATAACGGGCTATGGATTTGCATATGGTGACATTGTGTATGTTATTCAAATGACCAGGCACAAGTTGCTTGCTGGTTCTCGTTTAACGCTATTTTGAGAGTGTATGTTCTTGAAAACTGTATAATGTGCTTCTTTGCGCAACAGAAGCGACGTGGGTATCATTGTTCTGTCTCTTCGGTCTCACCACGCTCACCAGTCTACCGACCTTTATCGACGGCGCTCATCCGGACTACGTCGGCGGTCGCTCGACCGCGGCCGCTGACCCTCCCTGCTCCTGCTCCGCCGTCGATGCTCTCTCGGCCCGCGCTCTCGCTCACCACCCTCACGGCTCCGGCTTCTCGCCTTACGATGATGCCGCCTCTCCCGTCCCTCATCACGGTCGCGATCCCTGCGTTCTCGACCACCGTGTTCCCGTCCTTCACCACGGCGATGGCGGTGCCTCTCCTCCCCGCGATCCATGTCCCTTTCCCGACTCCGCCTCCTCTCGCCATCCCTCCTCCTCTCTCGCCGGGGGCTACGACTCCGACTCCGCCTCCGCCTTCTCTGCCTATCCTCATCCCGATCCCTGCGCTCTCTCTTCTCACTGACAACGAGCCCGCCCTTGGCCCCTTCCTCCTCTACAGGCTTCGCATCACCAGCACCACCGATCCCCCTTGCCCCGCTCACCTCAACGGCATTCGCGCCGGACGAATCCCGCTGCGGCACAGGTAATCCCAGCGCGCGCGCGAGCGCATCCTCCTCGGCCTCTTTGATCTTGCGCAGCTCCTCCTTGCGCGCGCGCTCCTGCCTCTCTTGTTCCGTCTCGCCTTCGACCGCTCCTGCGTCGTCGCCGTCGCCCTTGGCGTACCAGTTGAGGTCGCGGCCCTTTTGCCAGCGGCCGACGGGGGCTTTGAGGCTGTGGCCGAGGTAGTTTTCGCGGTGGGAGGAGTTGGCGACTTCGTCCCAGCTGAAGTTGACGCCGCCGCGGGAGCCGGATTTGCGGACGCTCGAGAGGAGGTCCATTTTCGGGGGCGGTTTCGATTTGCTTTGAGTTCTTGATTTGGGTAGCGGTGCTTTGTTTTGCTCGTGATGAAATTGTTGGTAGGGGATTTCCTTTGAGTATTAATGGTATTTGATGGTGTTAGGTTTGACAATGGTCGTCGTTGAAGAGGCTCCATTCAAATTGAAGGTCTTGAAGCTTGAAGATGGTCGGCAGGCATGACTATCACGTGATGAACCGCCCCGCCCCCCCCCGCCCCCCGGGCAAAAGACCCCTGTCGATCCAGCCCCTGCAGTCGAACAAGCTCCGGGCCCACGATACAAAAGTTGGAGAGCTTCCACTCCGGCTCAAAAAGCTCCGCAATCCGCCCTCCGAACGTCACCCACGCATACCCAGCACAAAACGACTCGTCAACAACTCATTCGACATACCTTCCTCCAACGACCGAATCCCCCCCTCTACAATGGCCAACCCAAACGACCCGCCCCTGGATGAGATCCAATGGCGCGCCCCCGACATCGCGGCCTCGATGCAGGGCATCCACTCCAACAGCGTGCTCTTCTACTTTGCCGAGTCGCCCTTTTTCGACCGCCAGTCCAACAACGCCGTCATCACGAACCAGGCCATGTTCAACCCGGCCTTACTCAAGAACCTCGCCACGCGCGAGGCGTTCGAGAGCGAGCTCGACAAGATGGCCGGCCTCGAGTTCAGGGTCCTGCACGCGCCCGCCGACATGGTCATGGGCACGGGCGTGTGGACGATTGTGAAGCAGACGAGGCAGAAGAACCTCGACCGCGGGCGCATGGAGACGAAGCCATTGGCGTATTACTTTGTCGTCGGCGAGAATATCTATCAGGCGCCGACGCTGGGCGATCTTCTCAGTTCGAGGATTGTAAGTCCCCACTTCCCTCCCTCTCTCCCACGAGAGATAGCATTCTTCTTGAAGGATGATGGAGTCTGACACAATGCTAGGAATCAATTGCCGAATCAATGAGAAAGGTTCTTCCCGCGGCCGACAGCGTACGCAAGTGGACGCCCTCCCTAGGCCACGTCTACACCCAACCGACGGCCCCCTCAGCCCTCGCCCGCGCGAAAGATGGAGCGGCAGCGGCAGCAGCAGACACACCCGCCGCCGAAGGCGCAACGAACGGCAGCAAGACCTCGGCGGGCGGCAAAACAGGCAGCAACAGCAAAAAGGACTCGACGGCCAACGCGTTGGACAGGCTGGCGGAGGAGTCCTTTGCGATCCATATGCGCCACGGCGGCGACTACTTTGACGAGAACCCGATCACGGGCAGGCCCGGCGACTTCCACTTTGCAAGCACGGGGCGCAAGGACAAGATTGCGCCGCCGCCTCCGCCATCGTCGGCACAGCCCAAGCCGGTGATTAATACTAAGTTGGCGGAGGAGGCCAAGAAGGAGGGCAAGGAGGGCAAGAGTCCCAAGACGCCCAATGGACCGAAGCCGAAGAGAAAGAAGAGCAAGATTGCGACGCCGGCTACGACGCCTGGTCCGTCTTCGTGAGAATTTGCCCCGGAGGACAAAAAGTAAAGAAGAAGAAGAGATGGATTCGACTCACTCATAGCGTTTTGATTTAGTAATGATACCCCCTTTTTGCCTAGGAAAGCATGCCTTCTATTGGTTTTCTTACAGAGAGAAAAAGAAAAAGACAAAAAACAACAATGGTCCGACCGATCGAGGAATCGAACTTGGATCCCGAAATAGACAGGAGTCTTCACTGTCTAACCGGGGCCTCTGCAGCCCGATGAACCCCTCGACCATACGGCCCAGGTACTTGTTGTTGAGAGCTGGCGATGATTCATCGGCTATAGAGCCTCGCGGGTATCCTGCAGGTATTCCGAGGCGTCCCTCGCAGTGGATTGGGCTCGCGTACACTTTCCATCTCAGAACCTACCATGACCTGTGATCAGGAAAGAGGCGACATAAAGAGCTATAGCTAGAATAGGCATCCCCCTTCAGCCCGTCCCTCATATTTACTTAATGATCATACACAATTCAAGCAGAGATCTGACATATATGGAAATCTATAGTCTTCGGCGCTCTTTAGACCCCTAGAAAATGGTATCAAACATCATCGCTGAACTCCATTGAGCCTCTCTGAACCCCCTTTTCACTCCTCATCATCCTTCACCCACCCACTACTCTCCCTCAACCACGTCTCCCAGGTCTGCAACCTCGGCTCCATGCCCCTCAACATCGCAACATCAGCCTTATACCCTTCCTCCTCAAACCACTCCATACTCCTCCCGGCATCCTCAAAGGCCCACCTCACGCCCCAACCGACAACCCCCCACGTCCTCGGCATCCTCTGCCCCACGACCCTCTCAAATACCTCCTCCGCCTCGTCGAAACCGATCTCATCACCAGCGAGCCCCAGCGCCCTACCACCCCATCCTCCTCCTTCATCCTCAGTACCAGGACCTTCTATCAGCGCCCGAGCCGCAAAGAGCCCGATATCCCTCGCGCTAACAAGCTGCATCTTCCTCCTACCCGCCGGCATCGTCGCCCACAGCCCGCCCATGACGGAGCCCATAACCCCCGCCTCAGCACGGTAATTATCCATGAACCCGGCCGGCCTCAAGATCGTCCACCTGGTCTGCGTGCCGCGCGTCTTGTCGCGGAGGTAGACCTCGACGCGGTGCTTGGCCGCAAAGTGCGGCACGGGCGTCGGGTTCGTCCACGAGCGCTCGTCGCCCCCGCGGTCGACGCTCGAGAAGACGATGTGCGGTATCTTGTGGGCGATTGCGGCGTCGATGAGGGGTATGGCTTGCGCTTCGTCTCCGGGTGGGACGGTTACGAGGTAGAGGGCGGATATGTCTGGGTGGGAGGCGAAGATGGGGGTCGGGTTTTCGGGTGTGCCTTGGATGAGGGTTATTGGTGATGATGTTGATGTTATTGTTGAAGAGGATACTGATGGTTGACGATCTGTGAATAGTTTGAGGAGGGCTTGTGATTTGGGAGAGGATGGGGAGCGGGTGAGGGCGAGGATTTGGGGCGGGTTGGGGGTTGAGGCGAGGGCTGCGATTGTTGCGCTTCCCGTCTGGCCGGTTGCGCCGACGATGAGGATTTTTGGTGTTATAGATGTCATTTTTAGCGATGGTTATTCTGGATTGGGCTTTCATCTGGATTGCCTTAGATTGTTATTCCAATGTAGCGAGCGAAAGGCGTCTTACATATAGTATAGTGAGAGTGTAGATCATGGAGACTTTTCGGGTACTTTGACTGGCGTCGTATTGCGCTAGTCTTTCTATTTTAATACTAGGATAAATACCATGAGAAGATCATCGCCCGAACGTTGCGCAACAAGTAGAAAACGTTTCGGAGACTTTGTTATTTCGACTTTAGTGATTTTCTGCCAAGACTGCAACATTACGCGTACTACATTTCGCCCTTACTTCGACTTCGATACTCCCAGGACTTAGACAACACAGCCCCGAGCAATGGCAAGATGAGCGCCATGAGTTCACTCTGGATCGACACAAGTGACTGTATTTGTAAGTTGCCATTGCGACTTTCTGTCGACGGGCTCGAAACAGTGAGGTCTATTTTCCGATCTCAATCTGTTCGCCAGGCCTCTCTTCAACTGGCTTCTTCATGGCCAATCTTCTCTATAGGCAATTTTCCTGTTCCTATCTATTTATTTCTCTCGTTCATCCTCATTCTTACTATTCAAAAGGTTACACCAAGGGAGTCAATGAGGCTCGGGCTTAGTTGATAACGTAGCCGCCGTCAACGGACAACGAGGCGCCGTGGATAAAAGACGCCTTAGAACTGCAGAGGAATAAGACGGCATCGGCGACTTCTTGCGGCGTTCCTTTCCGCTTCATTGGCGCTACTGCGATCATGGGATCATCTGATGAGACTTCACTTGTCATGGGCGTGCTGGATTGTCTCGGTCAGTTCTCATGATCAACACCCTTCATCCGGTTTTCTCCCAGAACTTACTCAATGATCCCTGGACACACGCAGTTGACGCGGATATTATACTTTGCATACTACTAGCTGTCAGACTTGGAGTCTCTCGTCGTAGAAGGAAACCCACATCGATGGCATCGCTTCTCGTCATACTTAAGATAGCCGCCTTGGAAGCGTTGTAGGCCGCTATCATTGTTGTTAGCTGTGGTCCTTCAGACATGGAAATGAAAGAGGCATTCTCGGCTTGGACTCACGTGTCTCTGGCCGGCTAACCAGGCTGAGATTACTCGCAACATTGACAATGACCCCCCGGTTCCCTGGTCTGCCGTCGTGCGTCTTCATGGATTCCTGCTTAATCATATGCGTGAGCTCCGCCCGCGAGCATAGCCATGTGCCGCGGTAGTTGATGTTGGTGATCTCGTCAAACTCAGCGGGCGTCAGGAGGTGTGACGGTGCCTTTGGTCCAAACATGCCTTCAAGTTACCGTCAATAATCTTCCCGATATGCTTAGGGATGTCGCAAAACAATCTTGAATAGGCTCACCAGCACAGTTAACTGCATAATCGATCCGACCCCATTCCTCTACAACATTCTCCATACACGATGCAATGTCCTCGTCGTTGCGGTTGTCAATCTCCATGACAAAAGTGCGCGTCTCCCCGTTGGCCTCCCGGCACATGCGAGCCGTCTCCAGCGCGCCGTCCTCATCTCTGTCGAGCAGAGCGATGCGCTTGCAGCCCTCACGGGCGAATGAGATTGCCACCTGGCGGCCGATGCCTGAGATCACTCTGTCAGTCCCAGGCTTACATTCCATCTCATCCTCCCTCTCACCCATTTCTTGATTTCATAATTGGATGTTATGGCGTTCAAGAGCCAGAGATTTTGACGTGTGACCTTACCTGAAGCAGCGCCTGTGACCACGGCGACGCCTGAGAAGAGTGTCATTTTCATCTCAATCTCGCGGAGGGCGCTCATGCATTCGTCAATGAGGGCTTCGTTTTCCTTCCAGGTCGACCTTTGCTGTTGCAATATCATCGGAGCCAGGTCCGCAAGAGGGAAGGGGGGCTCTCTGTAAGTAACGACGGTCCTGTGACGGGTATGGGATTGCGTAAGAGCTCTCTAATCCACACTCGAGCAGAGTGAATCCCAAATTGAAACGGCTATGTAAACAAAAAATAAGTTTGGCGTATGAATCAGCAACATGTAAAGCTTGTTGGTCGTCGTCACGATAGTCGGCTATACCCAGTCTGCTATCTTGGGCTTCACTTCGGCTTCGTTCAAAAAGATTATAAATTTGGTATTCCTTCGATGAACGAATAGAATCGACGACAAATGACACTAGAACAAACGGAAAACGTCCTTCTCGAAGGAAAACGACAGTACAAGTCAAGTCTCGCTCGGGCCCGGCCACGGGTGTGCATCTGCAGCTTTACCCGCTTCACAATTTCCTTCGTCCGAAGTTCCCTTAGGGCCACCCGTGTCCGAGTGCGTGTGCCGTGTATTACTCGAGGCCTGAATCTCAGACTTATCTTCCCCCCCTCCCCTTTCATCCGCGAACGAGCCGGTGAAGACAGAAAGACGGAGAAGGAGGGAGGAGAACGCATGGTCCATACTGAGTGCGAAGAGAACCCCTGTGTCGGAAAAAGAAGGTTCAGGTTTCTGAACCGATTCAACCGGCCCAGCTCGCCACGTGTTTGGATCACCGGCCAGTTTTGACTCTTGTTTTGGGAGGTTTGGCATTCGGGCGAGGAGGAGTTTCCATCCAAAGGTACCGTCTCACCCGATTCGCTTACGTAGAAGCGGCTCTGCCGGTACGACTGGCGAAGGACTGAATCAGAGAGGGAAGAACTGACTCTAGTCGGCCCCGTATTGTAGTTTCGACTCATCGAGAGAAGCCGAATGTTTAACACCGTAAATCAACGATTCATTATCGCCGCCAAGGTGGAGATGACAGAGTAACAGTGAATGTCTTGTGACACATTCTATTCTTTTGAAAATATGCTTATACCAAATTTTGATTTCCCCGCGTTTCATTCAACAACCCATCCCTTACCAGCAACCCTGCGCTGCACGACCTTCTTCATCGGCAACGGCCACCCCTGACCACCGACCCCTTCGGCCCTGAGGTACGGCACAACCCACACCTCGCGCGCATTCGCCGTCGACGAGATCTCCTTGACCGGCTTCCCGTAGCTCACGAGCGGCGTGCCCTTGGCCAAGCTCGCGAGCTGCCCGCCCGTGACGTCCGTAAGCGCGAGCATCCTGGTCTTGGGCGTCTTATTCACGTCTGCGCCCTGCGTCGCGCGCTGAAGCTGCGAGTACACGACGAACTCGGGGCACTCAGCCGGGCTGAGGTGGGCGAGCGGCGACGTCGGGTGAATGTAGATGTACTTCTCCGCGCCGTGGCCGACGCCGAGCGGCGAGAGCGGGATGTAGGGCACGTCGATGGCGCGGCCGGGCTTGCGCGTCACCTCGGGCGGCACGGGGGCCTTGTCGGCGCGGAGGGCGACGTGGTCGATGAAGCCGGCGGCCACCATCTGCTTGAGGTAGGCGACCTGCTTGTCCGAGGGAGCGTCGAGCCGGTCCTGGTATTTGAGGTTCTTGAAGGCGGGGATGTTGGCGCGGAGGAGCTCGGTGATTTGCTGGCGCAGCTGCGTCACCTCCTTCATGACCTTGTACCGGACGAAGTGATCCTCGCACCACTTCTCCGTCGGGTCATGGGCGTACTCGCCGACAACCTGGAGGAGCTTGATGGCGTCGGACCTGTCGTCCAGGTAGCAGAAGTTCTTGTGCGCGGCGTTGAAGAGGCGCCTGATGTTGGCCTGGCGATCCTCGGCGATGATGTCGGCGGTGCGGCGGAACTCAGACTCGTCACGCGCCTCAAGAGAGGGGATTGCCTGGTGTTCCGGGACAAAGACCTCAGCGGCCGAGAGCGCCGCCACCATCATGATGGTATACGGCAGGCAGTCGTGCTGGTGGCCGACAAGGAGGATGCGGGCGAAGCGGGGCGAAAGCGGGAAGATGGACATTGTCGATCCGATTTTTGTGATTTGGCCTTCCGGCGCGATGGCCGAGAGGTAGGTGAGCAGCTTCTCGGCCTGGCGGAGACCCATACGGTTCGGCGGCGTCGGGAAGGGGAAGTTGACGACGTTGGAGAGGTTCATCGCCTTGAGCTGGAGCACGACGCCGTCGACGGGCATCCGCAGGATCTCGGGGTCCGTGAACTCGGGCAGGTCTCTCTCGTAGACGGCCGAGGAGTAGAGTCTGTAGCAGTGACCGGGCCCCGTACGACCAGCACGACCAGCGCGCTGACTGGCACTGGCCTTGCTGATCCAGCCGATTTCGTAGGTTTGCACTCCGCTGAAGCGATCGTATTGGCGTTCTTTGGACCGGCCACAGTCAAAGACGTAACGGATGCCCGGAATCGTCAAACTGGTTTCCGCAACGTTGGTTGCCAGGATGACCTGACGGTGGTTTTCGGGAGGATCCTCAAATACCCTCATCTGCTCCTTAGTTGGCAGGAGAGAGTAAAGGGGTAAGACTTGCATCTTCATGGGCCCCGTTTCTCCCTCCTCTCCTTCAATTTCGAACTCCTTGTCGTCCTCGTGCTCCATGTCCTCATCCTCATCGAGGCCGTCATCGATGTCGGCACCGATGGCATCGTCAACCTCGCCAAAGTCGATATCTTCGACTTCCATAGGCGCATCGGTGGCTGAGATCTGGACCTTGGGTGCGCTGGCTTCTGTGAAGCCACCAAATGCTTCCCTCAGGCGCTTGCTCAGATACCTAATCTCGTTTTGGCCGGTAAGGAACACCAAAAAGCCTCCTGGCGGTAGCTTCCGGTGACCACGCATAATCTTGTTAAAGGCCTCCTCGACGAAGTCGGACTGTGTCCGCCTTGCAAAGTGAATCGTGACGGGATGCTGCCGTCCTTCGACTTCAACCACAGGAGGCGGGGTGGGGAATAGTGTGGTATTGTTGGTCATGTCTTCGACTCTTAGCGTCGCGGACATGATGATGATCTTGAGTGGCTTGATCGAAGGATCGACCTTGTCGTCGCCCTTGCGAATATTATTGATACGACTCAGCATTCCAATGAGGATATCTGTGTTGACACTTCTTTCGTGGGCTTCGTCGATAATGATTGCCGAGTATTTCTTCAGAGAGAAGTCTTGCCCCATCTCTCGCAGCAACACACCATCCGTCATAAACTTGATGGCCGTCTTGGCCGAAGCTGTACCCTCGAATCGGATCTGGTATCCCACTCTGTCCGAGTGGTCGCCTAGTTCTTGCGCAACACGTTTTGACATGCTCACGGCAGCAACTCGTCGGGGTTGCGTGACGCCAATCATGCCCGGAGTAGCAGAGCCAGGAGAACCGTACCCAGCCTCGTACAAGAATTGCGGCACCTGAGTCGTCTTACCGGAACCTGTAGAACCGCATACGACGACAATGTCGTTATTGTGAATCATCTCCATAATCTTCTGTTCCTCAGCGACCACCGGAAGTTTCATGCGGACTTCCTGGATATCTGGCGTTCTCGTCACAGCAACCGCGTATGCCTTTCGTGCAAGGTTTGTTGTCGGCTGTAGTTCCTGAGGTAGTGGTTCCTGCTCAAGCGGGCGTGGCTCAAAATTCTCTGGCCTAGGAATTTCCAGTGCTGTGGAGGCCTCTGTTGTTCCTTCAAAACCAAGGGCTTCGTTTCTTTGCGCAAGAGCCCAAGCCTTGAAGGCAGACTGCCTTGTGCTGGTAGACTCTTCTTCATCGTCCTCGCTTTCGTCTTCATCTTTGTCGTCTTCCTCAGACTCTTCGGATCCTTCGCTTGATTCTTCAGACTCCTCGGCTGAATCGTCATCCTCATCGCTTGAATTGTTCTCTGCGTCATCGCTCAAACCATTCCATTCGTCCTCTGCATCCTTCGCTTTCTCCGGTTCAGCGATGGAGAATTTGGAGGTCACGCCGCCTCTCTTTTGACGCTTCTGAAGCACTGGTCGTCCTGAATCATCGACATCTAATGGACGCTTCAGACCAGAGCCTACAGATGCGGCGAGTTGCGGTTCCGGCTTTGATGCAGGTGCGGGTGTAGTTGTCGGTTCAGGTGCTGGTACTTGTGGAGGCGGTACTGGTGTTGATTTCGCTTTCGCTGCTGATACCGGCACAGGTGCCTTGACTACAGCCTTAGAAGCTTTCGGCTTGGGTGCCTTTGAAGTGTCATCTACGCTGTCGTCAGAATCCACCTCGGGGGCCTCCTCTCTCTCCTCATAAAGCAGCTCCTCGGCATCGGCGTCGACTGCCAACCCGGCGTTCTTCTCCCGCAACGCCCTCGTCAAAGCCTGGCGTTTGGACTCCTTGCCCTGGCCGAGAGTCTTGGTGCTCGTGAACAAGCTCGTGTCGACCTTTTGCTGCGCGAGCTTGGCGAGGATTTCGCGATTCTCATCTTTGCGAAGCTTATTGGTGATGTACTTTTCCAACCGCTTCGCCTTCTTGCCGCTGGCCTTGGCACCGTCTCCTTGCAATTCGGCCTTGAGCTGCGCTCTCTTTTCCTGGAGACGCTTCTGGTCTTCGGGGAGAATCTCATCCGCATTCGAGTCCTGGGGGATGATGCCGTTCTCCTTGGCCCTCTCGCGGGCGAGCACCTTGTGCTTTCGTTGCCTTGGGACGAATTTTCCCATTTTGTTTTGTGTGACAATGACAAGTTCGAATTTGTCTTCAATGCAGATCCTTCGTGGCGTGAGTGGTGCTGCTTTGGACCGAAGCAAAAGTCGCTGTTTCTTATGCGGCCTCTCACCTCACTGGGAAAAGTTTAGGTGGATGAGACTGAGATTCGTTGCTGATCCAGGTGAAATTAGATCAAGCCGTGGAAGCCTAGAAAAGCGATCGAATTTTGGAAAAATGCGTTGCAAAACAATTGTCAATACCGCCAGAAAATTGGCATTTTAACAAGGGTATCAAGATTAGGTGATGCACGTGAAGTAAAATCTCATGTTTCTCTCACTCAACGCTGAAGGTCGCTAAGATGCGCCGCCAAATTCTGGAAATTTTTGGATGGAAAAGGTTCTGCCGGGTTGACCGCCGGGTCTCTAGCTATTTTGGGCCTAGTGCGGGGCGATCCGCACCCCTGTCACCCGCTGCTGCGGGTTCGACGAGTCCCTCACTGGCTGCAGTCCGAGTTGACCTACAAGTCCAACTTGAGACTTTAATAAACGATCTACATCATATGCCTACACGATCAAATAGTAAAGTCAATTCCAAAAATCGAGAAGACTCGACATAAAATCATTTTACCCTCCCCCCCAAAGATACTATCTCGGGACACCCAACACGATGGAACCTCAGGGAATCAGAGAAGAAGCCTTCCCCGCACGAAGCAGGCAGGAAACGGGAACAGTAAACGGCGTCCCAACAGAAGTCACTTCAGTCTCCTTTTCCGACAAGCTCGTATTGACAATCTCACAAGACGGCAAGCTCTCACAATGGGTGCGTCCTCGAAGTTTCCCTGGGCTTTATCCAAAATTGATTTTACTGACCATTCTCAAAGATCCAAGTACCTTTGCAAGCTTCCACAGGCGGCATGGTTGACCTGAGCCTGCCTTCAACCAGCCGGGGCCTTCTCCCATCGGTCCACCTGACGCCCAAGACTCTTCTCGGAGGTGGAGGTGATGAGAGAGAAACTTTGGGGCAGCTCTACGCAGCACAGATTGCCAGTCTCATGTCCACGAGAGATCCCGAGGATCGCAGGACGCTCGTGGTGGGACTGGGGCTCACGAAGGTCGACACTGAGCGGGAAGCTTTTTTCGATACAGTCGAGTTGGTTCAGAAGGTTCTGTGAGGTACCTACCAGATAACGTGGTAAATATTGAATTGGAAAGCTGCAATGATGATAGCCGCTTCTGCAACTAGTCTCTGAACGGAGCATACGCTGGCTGAGAAGCATCTCGCTGATGGAAGTCGAATGCCCTTTGGTGAGAACCAAACCTCAATATCAGTATTGGTATGCCATGAAGGTATCGCACGAGGAACAAACAGGCCTCGAAATGAAGGCTGGGTTTATGAGTAGCTGGTATGATTGATATGAACTTCAAATTTACAGCCCGTACAGTATTGCCAGCAACACGGGCATGGTTCAAGTCTGAAAGCCGTAGTGGCGCCTCAAAACTCAAAGGCATCACCGGCTTCGTACAGATAGTATGTTTCATTCCTGAAGGCCAAACTATTCCATAGTGCAGGACGCTTCAAAACCTTGTTGACTGCGGTAGTCGTGATAGACGTTTTGTGTGCTTTCATCTGGTAAAGACTGGCACATAGGTCAACAGCTTATCTCTATGAAAAGTAGGAGATATTCAAACTACAGAAATAGAACCTGCTATGAACCGAACACCTCCGCCCTCTGTGACGGTACGTACAGTGTCAGGGTCAACTTGCTTTTTCCGCATCCACAGTGACAGCCATACTCGTGGCGGTGAGCCGGGGGAGACAGTCTGCACAACAAGAGACAACGCAGTGCTACAACACGCCTAGGACAAAGTCGGGCCACCACACCTTTCACCCACGTTCAAGTAAGGCTCGCATATGATAGGCGAGTCCAGAGAGATCCTCAGTCATGCCGGGGAGCGCGAGCCGTCGGGTTCCGACGGGCTGGATATGCAGACCAGACAAGATGACAGCCACCTTTGACATTCCCCGGGCCGGCACAGGCGGGAACGGCTTCCGGCATATAGACAGGTGCTGGCGGCCAAGGAAAAAAACACCTCAGACTACTACGTTCTCATCACCGACAAGAAGCAATGAAGAGGCAGTAGTGGCGGTCAGGGAACGGAACGGGAGCACGCAGCTGTTGGCGGCTGAGTGTGTACGAAGAGAGGCCGACGTTGCTCAAACGATGGTTCCCTGGCAAAGCTTTTCCTCTGATGAAGCAGGCTAAGCAGTATTTCATGCTTGACTTTCTTTTAAGAAACTAGAGTGTTCATATTCATTAGAAGTCACTGAAGACAAGTATTGTCATTCAAGAGAGCGTTGGTATGCTCAAGACCTTACCATACCTCGAAAGTATCGACTAATTCTCTGGACAAAGCAACGTTTGAGTCTTTGTATCTACGTGATACATAAAGCAGCTACTTCGTTCACAACCACGGACATGTCGAGGAAAGATCCCCCCTCGCCTCGACCACCGCCGAACCCACCACCAAGTCCGAGTTGAGACACCCTGTCTTCGTATCTCGGTTCATGCTTGGCGAAAGTTAGCACATGATTACATGCTATCGACATGACAAAAAAGCTAACATAAGGTTACGTAGTGACTAAAATATACATGGAAAGAACAAGGTCTTGGGTAGCAACTTGTTCACGTTGAACAACACCAGAAAACTTATATCTGATGGAGACGTGCTGGAATACCGAATACTCCAACAGTGATAGGCATACTTTCACAATATCAATCTTCAACACCGGGCAGTCTTTCATAGCCTAGACTTCTCTTTAAGCACCCATGTCCCCTCCCTAATCTCAAACTCTCTCCCCTTCTTCCATCCAAGCCACTCCTCGAGCGCCTTCTCACCACCATCACCAGGCGTAAGCGGAACGCCGACATACCCTTCCCCCTCAACACCAGGCCCCTGCCCCCGTCTCGGATCCTTATCCTCGCCGGCCGCCACAGCCAAACACGGCGTCTCTACCAACGTCACCGCCGGCCTTTGGTCACCTTCCCTCGCCGGCTCCGTCTCGAGCTCGTGATACTCCAACACGGGCGTACAACACGCATCCGTCCCGTCAAACACCTTCTCCCACTCCCCTCTCGTCCGGCTCTTAAAGATCTTGGTGAACAACTCCCGCAGCTCCCCCCACCTCGCCCGATCGAACCTCTCCTCCTCCCACCCCTGCCCCGCCAACCCGAGCCCCTTGATAAACGCCGCGAAGAACTGCGGCTCCAGCGCCCCGACCGCAAAGTACTTGCCGTCCTTTGTCTCGTATGTGTCGTAGTACGGACACCCGCCGTCGAGCATGTTCCTCCCGCGCCCGTTGTCCCCGAGCGGGTTCTTGAGCGCGAACCGCGGGAACGTGGCCAAGTACGCCGACCCATCCACCATGTTGGCCTCCACGACCTGGCCCTTCCCACCGTTCCTCTCCCGTGCCAGCAGCGCCATCAGAATCCCCTGGAACAGCATCGCCCCGCCGCCTGCGAAGTCGGCCAAAATGTTCCACGGCGGGTGCGGCTTCTCCCCGTCCCGGCCGAGCATGCTCAGCGCCCCGGACACAGCGAGGTAATTGATATCGTGCCCCGCCATGTCTTTATACCGCCCGTCCCTTCGGAACCCCGTCATGCGGCCGTAAATCAAGCCCCTGTTTGCCTTTTCCAGGACCTCCGGGCCCAGCCCCAGCTTCTCTAGCACGCCCGGGCGGAAGGGGTCGATGAGCACGTCGGCCTTTTCGGCCAGACGTCTGACGAGAGCGAGGCCGGCGGGCGATTTCAAGTCCACGGCGACGGAGGCCTTGTGGCGGGCTAGCATGTCTTCCGTCGGCAGGGGCGTGCGGCTTCCCTCGATGGCACGGTCGACGCGGAGGACGGAAGCGCCTGCGTCGGAGAGGAGCATGCCTGCAAAGGGACCCGGTGCGAGGCCGGCGAATTCGAGGACCTTGATGCCTTTTAGGGGCGGAGGGCCGACCATGGTTGCTGGTTAATTCACTTAGACGATGTTGAAGATGGTTGAGTGTAAGATGAGGATAAATGTAAGAAGATTTGGGATAATGACAAGGTCTTTATGTACTTGATTCTAAGTGACTTAGTACTTGTTTGTAATACTGTAAGAAATCTTTACGGATACATGTAGATGAAATTGTTGCAGAATTGTGAAATAAAGAAGTTCCGGTTGTGAGTTGTGACCGAGACATGAGCCCGGTAAACTTAGAGTTGGGGAAGCTCCCAAGCAGCCGAGGCAGTGTCCGCCTCTGAGCGGGTGGTCGGAGTTGCTGAAAACAAGCAACTCCTAGCACTGGCACCGAATCGCGGGGGGGACGGGACGGGAGCTACTGTGGGGTCGGTGAGCACCTCATTGCCGGCGCATGATGTACTCGGTGTGGGGTTCCTGAAGATGATGTGAGGTGGTTGCTTGAAATGGACTTGAACACAGGGCCGATGGGATGGGACGAGATTTCGTTGGCTCTCAAGTATTCCGTACTTTTATCACTTTTGAGAGTGCCAAGCACTCCAAAGTGCATATCCACAGGAGCAGCCCTTATTGAAGTTTATTCCTTCTTAAGTGGTGATATGTGATACAATTTATACAGCCCCTGCGTACCTATACTCTAGTGTCTAGGTAAGGTATACTTCTGTACATAAGATAATAGACATAACAACTATCGGAAAGAATTGATGATTTGGCAATGTAAGAACATTTCCTCCTTGGTACCTAGACATGCCTATCGTCCAAGATTGTAGATATCATTGACATGTGGATGTTTTAGCGCAGTATCCGTATACTCACATGAGAAAGTAGAGCGCTTCCTAACACTGCCCAGACAGCAATAAACATGACATATTCCCACCAAAAAGGTATCTTGCAAATTATTGTTCACGAACAGAACCATCGCACACAATACCATTCAGCCCAAGCTCCAAAAAGCGCACTCAAAGATTCATCGAAACGCCGGGATCAACTCCATTCAGCAGCTCCACAGTCTCCTCCCACACCCGCCCCTGCATCTGCTCCCCCTCCTCGCCCTGCATGACCTTCGGGAACCGCACGACGACGCAGTCGCTCATGTACCGCCCGTGGGCCTCCTCGCCGGCGAACGCGCTCGCCGTCAGGCACCGCGACCCGACCTCGGCCGACCGCGCCAGCAGCTTCAGCCCGACCTTGACGACGATCGTCAGCGGGAAGGGAATGTTGCGGAACAGCGCCGTCGCGCAGAGGCCCGGGTTCAGCGTCGTCACCTGCACCCGCCCCTTGCCAGACGCGTCTGCCGCGATGGCCATCTGCCGCGCCAGGATCACCTGCATCAGCTTCGACGTGTTGTACCGGTCCGTCAGGCTCTTGTTGGTGTTGAGGGCCTTGTAAATGTCTTCTTCGTTGCGTTCGTGGAACTTGGCCTGCGGGGCACGAACTGCGTGTAAGTGGGTGGAATCTATCTCCATGGCATCACACGCAGTTTGAGAGAGAAGGGCAAGAATAAGGCACAACAAAACTCACCATCTGACTCGCATCCGAAGCGACAATCACAATCTTGGGCGTAACATTATGCGTCTTGCCCGTCCTCCTCAGCACCGGCAACAACTTCAACCCCAACAAAAACGTGCTCAGCACGTTCACCGTAATCGTGCTCTCCCACCCCTCGGCGTCGACCCTCTTGCTCGTTGCGATGCTCGCGTTCAGCACCGCAAAGTCCAGCCTCGGCAGCTTGTCCGCGCGCGCCGCAAACTCCTTGACGCTCTCAAACGACGCCTGGTCCAGCGGCCACACCTCGACGACGCCGCGCCGGCCCGTCGTCAGCTCAATGTCCGTCTTGGCCGCCTCGCCTTTGTCGGTGCTGCGCACGGCGAGGATCACCTTGGCGGCGTTGAGCCGCACAAAGTGCCGCGCCGCTTCGAGGCCCAGGCCGACGTTGGAGCCCGTGACGATGATGGTGCGGCCGGCGCAGTCGTCGGATGGGTAGGGGAGCTTTTTGAATTGAGAGCGGAGGAAGTCTACTGCCATCATCTTGGCGGCTTTTTTCTTCTTCTTTTGCTGGTTCGTTCCTCACTTTAAAGTTTTGGAGCCCTGGATACTAAGCCTATTTCTTCGAAGAAACTCTGTAGCTGAATTTCTTACAGCACTTGATATCCGCGTCTTTCGGTTAATGACGTTCTGGTAAGTCGGTAGTTTGCAGTTGAATATGGAGCAATGCACGCAGAGAATGAACAAAGGAAGGGAGGTAAGGGAGGGCACGGTGAGTTTATCAATACCATCTCCCCCCCCCCCCCCCTCTCTCTCTCTCTTAGATACCTACCTTTACGGCCTACCTTTCCCCTTCCCCTCTCCCGACCTATCCGTCTAGACCTTGTCTAGACCACTCTCTCCCAGAGCTCAAGCTTTCCCATTCAATGCTGCGGGGAAGGGGAGGGAACGTCGAGACGGAGAGTGAGTGAGAGAGAGACAGAGCACGGAAGCTACCCTGATGCTTCCCGCTACCCGGGAAATGTTTCACCAAGCTCAGCGAGCAGGCATTGACCGACGTGGAACACTAACCTGCGCACTAGCGCGACGTAACATGAGGTGAAAAAGCCAAAAAGAGATGTTCGTTAACACGATAAGTAGCGAGTACGGAATCCGGGCGAATACCCGTGTGCATGCGTGTCTCCAAGACGTATCCGTACCTCTTCTCTGCACCCAATCTGCTCATCTCTTATGCCGTAGTGGCTGGCATCCGGAAGTATGAACGTTACTTTTATACCTATATCCGCCCCACGCCAGCTTTCCTTCCATACGCCAAATGGAATAACGCCAGGAGATCCTAATCTAGGTCAAGGTTTAGTTTGATTGCATGATCTGCCGGATCTTGGTCAATTGGAGTAGTCTTGAATCCGGAGCCAACGGCCGGCCAGCCAGATCCCTACTACGTAAGAGGGACGAACGTGCGTCTCGAAAGATCGTCTGAATGATGATCTGTAGAGCATGATTGATAACGCCCCCTAGAGTGTCGCAAACCAAGCACATGCCACGCGTCGCACAGGAACAGGAAAAGCGAATTGGGAACGTGATCTTTCATTGCTGCCTCTCTCTTGCTATATCCTCTTTGGCCATCTTGATTCAGTCATCATCACAAGAAACAAATGTATGCCACTCTCATTAAAGGACTATCACCGCAACCGCTGCTGTCCGATTGTCTACCGCCTCCCACGCCTCCAGGGTCTCCGCCGACGATTTTTGGGAAGATTTCACCGCCTGAACGCCGCGCTCTTTCTAGTTTTCGTGCCCCCGGAAGCATGGGGCGGCCAGCATCTCAGCAGGCAAAAATTTGAGTGCTCCTCAGAAGCCACTTTGTATGTCGTCTCGCGTCTCTTACTGGACCTGGCTGACAATCTCGCTGGCCTTGCCAAGAGACTCCACCATTTGCTGGCACTCCTTTCTTCTGCGGATGGTGAAGTCGCTCTCCTTGAGCAGGTCGTCCAGAGTATCGGTGCGGTACATGTTCTCCAAGAGCTCCTTCTGCATCTCGTCCTTGGTGAATCTGCCCTACTGTTAGCTGACCAAACCTCACTGACGAAACTTTGTGTATGTACTCACTGAACAAGGGTAAGCATGATGGCCTTGGGCACCATGTCGATCATGGTCCGCCTCACAATGTTGTAGTAGGAAGAGATGAGCAGCTCTGTGCATCATGGTCAGCGTTTTTTCGAGTAAAGTGAAACAAGGGAGACATACTGATGACTTCCACCTCAATGTTCTCGCGCTCTGACAGCGTTCCGGAAGCCTTGAGTGTCGGTGGAGGAGCCTCCATGGCTGCAGCCTTCTTCTTGTTCTTCGCGGCGAAGAAACTGCCAAAGAAGCCTCCGTTGGCGGCATCTTCAGGCACAACTGGGCTGGACGCTCTGGGAGTGCCTCCCGGGAGAGGCTTGCCGGTCTTTGGGTCAACCTGGACGGGCTTGGAAGGGTTGTAGCGCTCATTTACCATAGCCATAGCCCTGTGGCCGTTCAAGAAGTCAGGGTGGCCAGTATTGATGTAGCATGCCTCCATAGCCACGAGATCCTTGACCAGCTTGTTGGTGGGTTCCATGGCCTTCTTGAAGAAGTTGATGACCACGGTGTGAACCTTCTCCTTGAGGGAAGGATACCTGCGGTACAGCGCCTTACCCAGGAGCTGAGACAGAATGCGCACCAGCTCATCGTAGACGAGGGACACGCACTTCAGACTCGGGTCTTCCAAACGCTTGATTTGCTGCTTCACGATCAACTCGAAGGCAGTAGTGCCAACGAAGAGAGCCGGAGAGGAACCGGACGAGTTGTACAGGATCGTACGGATATCAACATCTTTAACCACGTCGAAGGGATCCACAGCCTTGACACCGTTGGAGTATAGCTCGTGGAACACGAAGCTGATTCTCGCACCACCCGACAATTCCGTGCTGGAAAGCTCTGTGTTGTTGCCGTCCAAGACCGTCCGCCACTCGTTTGTGAACTCGGTGATGATGTTGAGAACAATGTTTGCGCTGTTGCCCAGCATGCTAGGTCCCAAGCTGTCCAGCTCGGCAGAGTACTTTTGCAGTGAGCTCGAGATGCGAGCCTTGATGTCGGGCAGGGTCTGCTTGATGTGCATCATCAGAATGAGGTTGAGCTTCCTTGCCAAATAGGGAGTTCCGCAGTAAGAGCTCTTGTTCCTGTATGCCTTGTGGTTGTCGAAGAAGTTCTTCTCGTTCTCCAGGGCTGCCATAATCGGTTTCTTGTTGTCGATATCTCGCTGGCCACGGTTGACCACAGGGACGTATCCCAACCGCAAAGGAATAATGCGTCCAGCCAGAATATCAACTACATCAGTGCCCTCGTCCATAAGATCCACCTTGGTGAGAACACCAATCGTTCGCTGGCCCTCAGGGTCGACCTCGCGGGCGAGCTTGAGACCGTCGGAATTGGCAAGATCGATATTGGCAGCTGTGACGGCGAGAATGATGGCGTTGGACTTGGAGATGTACTTGAGAATCATGTCGCGGATCTGGCGCTCGATATCGCGGGGCTGATCTCCGACTGGCACTCTAGTCAGACCTGGCAAATCGACCAGGGTGAGGGTAAGAACGTTCGGGGAGTAAACTCTCAAGTTGATGGGAGCGGGTGAAATGCCGGCGTTGCGGCCGACCTTGGCCTCCGTTTCTCTGCTAATCTCATCGCGAATCTTGTTGAAGTCGTAGAATTTTTGGCCAGGGATATGGAGGAATTCGCCCCATTCGTCGGCGTTGGCCGCCTTGTCGGTGCTGTTTTCCACTTCCTCGACGCCATTCTGTGAAGTTGCGGGACGGTTGATGAGTTGCAGGACGAGGGGTCGACGGGTGCAGATCCCAGAGCCTCGGGGCAAGCTGAAAGGATCAAAGTTGTTAGATGCCTCGAGGGCTGGAAGACATGTAATTGGCGGGGCCGGGTAGTGGTTGTCACACTCACAAGTCTCTTCCTACGATGTTCTCCAAGACGGAACTCTTACCGCTAGACTGACTACCGACGACGACGATTTGAGGGAGATCGATAGGGTTGGTGACGCCAACTGTTGTGAAGACATCCTGAAGCTTGTTCACGAGGCTGAGGGGCAGCGCATAGTTAGCTTCCAAAGTGCATCGAGGGGTCGAGAGGTGTTGCTGGGTGTCACGTACGTGATCAAGGCGGGATCCGAGATACCACCTTGGCTGGAAGCGGGGGGTGCGCTCATTGTTGCGATGCGGCGTGGGACTTTGGGGAGATGCGGTGGTCGTGTGTTGGGCAGAGGAGAGGGTCGAGTCGAGGACAGACTTCTTTGTCGAGAGTAGTGTCGCAGATGGCTCCTGAATCGCAATACGTGGAAGCTCCCGGAAAGGGGGGTTGGGGTTCGAGAAGGAGGTAAGGAAGAGGGCGGGAGCGCAGAACAAGTCGAGGGCAGTCGTTGTACCACCTTTGTGTCGGCGTCGACGGGTATGTATATCAGCAAAGATGCGAGGTATCGTGCAAGTTGCAAGTTTGCAGGTGTTTTGGTTGAGGGATGGTGGGAGGCGGACGTCGCAAGCACCGGGCCCAGATCACAGATGTCAAGAGCCTATCCGTACTTGGTACATACGTTGTTGCTGCTGCTGTCCCGAGACTGAGAGTCCTGTAGGTGTGCCTAGGATCCCTGACGCACCAGCCACATGCGTCCGGTCCCCACCGGTGTCGTAGCCCCCTGTCACTCTGCCTACAACCAAAGGCGCAGCGAAACAGCATTTGGCGGGGCGTTGGGCTGGCAGGCGACCTCCCACTTCTCCCACTTGGGCACAGGTGTCACACGTGACGGGCTGGCCTTAGGAAGGTAGTGTACACGGCTACGCACACCGAGGACAGCTCCTGACACACCTTGGTCTCATGGGAAGCACACCTTGGGTACGCCGTACACCGCACTTCTCACACCTTTAGACATTTTGGAACAAAATGTAGGTGCCTAAGCGTACGTCACTTGTGCCACGCAAGTGCCAGACGAGTAGCATTTGCAATGATGTTTACGCCGGCGAGTAACATGGATTGCAATACGTAAGTATAGAGATGCTCAGAATTTAGTCACCTTCAACCAGTCGTTGCTCGTCTTGTTCCTCTGATTACCTATTACCTCCTGCCTGTCTGCCCAAGCAATGTCTGAAACCTAAGTTTTTCCGACACACCAAAGAATACATGCACCTCGGAATAAGCTGACTGTGAGCAAAGGGCAATATGTACCTCCAAAATCCAGTTCAACTGACAAAAAAGTAAAAGGGTCTACTGGCGCTTCCCTGGGAGCTTTGCTGCAGTCTATTGCCTGGCAATTTAGGTAGGCTTGAATCAACCCTCAGTCTTCTGCAGCTGGACGCAAGATACTGCAGCAATTTGCATACCACCTGGACAAGGGTTCGTTGCTTCAACGCCCGGACCGAAAAGACGAATGGCGATAAGGAACCGGTGAAGAGCTGGGCCAGGGCACTTCCACGAGGCGTTGATGCGTTGGAGACTTTCTGGCAGCTGAGGTGCGTTTAAGTGGC